CTGACAGAGAAGTCCTCTCCATCTTTTTTATTCCTTCACATGTTTATGGAGTTGAAGAATCATTGGAGTTGATACATAAATTACTTAGCATAGAATGTGTTAAACAGTAGTCCATCTTGGCAATGCTGGTAACTCTGAGTAATGTCTAGCATTGAATGCTAATGGACTGACATAGAATTCCTCTCCTCATGTTCTGTTCTTTCACACGTTTATGGAGTTGCAGAATCATTGGAGTTGATACATAAATTACTTACCATAGAATGTGTTAAATAGAAGTCCATCTTGGCAATGCTAATAACTCTCTGAGTAATGTATAGCTTTGAATGCTAATGGACTGACAGAGAAGTCCCCTCCATGTTTTCTATTCTTTCACATGTTTATGGAGTTGAAGAATCATTGGAGTTGACACATAAATTACTTAGCATAGAATGTGTGAAATAATATTCCATCTTGGCAATGCTGGTAACTCTCTGAGCAATGTCTAGCGTTGAATGCTGATGGATTGACATAGAATTCCCCTCCTCATGTTCTGTTCTTTCACATGTTTTTGGAGTTGCAGAATCATTGGAGTTGATACATAAATTACTTAGCATATAATTGACTTTTTATTTTAATTAATTGGTTAATTTTTGTTTACTTTTGTTGTTGTTGTCTTGAATCATGTTGATACAAGACTCTTGTTTACTTTTGTTGTTGTTGTTGTGAATCATGTTGATACAAGACTCTTGTTTTTATCATTAACATTGAAATGTCTCCTGTAAAGGAATTGGTTGTCATATTGTTCTTGTTCTAGTTACACACTTGGCAAGCACTACCCAATTACACACTTGGCAAGCACTAGTCAATAACATAAAACGTGTTTCTTAGCATAAATTTTGTTTAATAGAAGTCCATCTTGGCAATGCTAATAACTCCGAAGTCCATCTTGGCAATGCTAATAACTCCCTGAGTAATGTCTAGCTTTGAATGCTAATGGACTGACAGAGAAGTCCTCTCCATCTTTTTTATTCCTTCACATGTTTATGGAGTTGAAGAATCATTGGAGTTGATACATAAATTACTTAGCATAGAATGTGTTAAACAATAGTCCATCTTGGCAATGCTGGTAACTCTGAGTAATGTCTAGCATTGAATGCTAATGGACTGACATAGAATTCCTCTCCTCATGTTCTGTTCTTTCACACGTTTATGGAGTTGCAGAATCATTGGAGTTGATACATAAATTACTTACCATAGAATGTGTTAAATAGAAGTCCATCTTGGCAATGCTAATAACTCCCTGAGTAATGTCTAGCTTTGAATGCTAATGGACTGACAGAGAAGTCCTCTCCATCTTTTTTATTCCTTCACATGTTTATGGAGTTGAATAATCATTGGAGTTGATACATAAATTACTTAGCATAGAATGTGTTAAACAGTAGTCCATCTTGGCAATGCTGGTAACTCTGAGTAATGTCTAGCATTGAATGCTAATGGACTGACATAGAATTCCTCTCCTCATGTTCTGTTCTTTCACACGTTTATGGAGTTGCAGAATCATTGGAGTTGATACATAAATTACTTACCATAGAATGTGTTAAATAGAAGTCCATCTTGGCAATGCTAATAACTCCCTGAGTAATGTCTAGCTTTGAATGCTAATGGACTGACAGAGAAGTCCTCTCCATCTTTTTTATTCCTTCACATGTTTATGGAGTTGAAGAATCATTGGAGTTGATACATAAATTACTTAGCATAGAATGTGTTAAACAGTAGTCCATCTTGGCAATGTTGGTAACTCTGAGTAATGTCTAGCATTGAATGCTAATGGATTGACATAGAATTCCTCTCCTCATGTTCTGTTCTTTCACACGTTTATGGAGTTGCAGAATCATTGGAGTTGATACATAAATTACTTACCATAGAATTGACTTTTTATTTTAATTAATTGGTTAATTTTTGTTTGCTTTTGTTGTTGTTGTTGTGAATCATGTTGATACAAGACTCTTGTTTACTTTTGTTGTTGTTGTTGTTGTGAATCATGTTGAGACAAGGCTCTTGTTTTTATCATTAACATTGAAATGTCTCCTGTAAAGGGATTGGTTGTCATATTGTTCTTGTTCTAGTTACACACTTGGCAAGCACTACCCAATTACACACTTGGCACGCACTAGTCAATAACATAAAACGTGTTTCTTAGCATAAATTTTGTTTAATAGAAGTCCATCTTGGCAATGCTAATAACTCCCTGAGTAATGTCTAGCTTTGAATGCTAATGGACTGACAGAGAAGTCCTCTTCATCTTTTTTATTCCTTCACATGTTTATGGAGTTGAAGAATCATTGGAGTTGATACATAAATTACTTAGCATAGAATGTGTTAAACAGTAGTCCATCTTGGCAATGCTGGTAACTCTGAGTAATGTCTAGCATTGAATGCTAATGGACTGACATAGAATTCCTCTCCTCATGTTCTGTTCTTTCACACGTTTATGGAGTTGCAGAATCATTGGAGTTGATACATAAATTACTTACCATAGAATGTGTTAAATAGAAGTCCATCTTGGCAATGCTAATAACTCCCTGAGTAATGTCTAGCTTTGAATGCTAATGGACTGACAGAGAAGTCCTCTCCATCTTTTTTATTCCTTCACATGTTTATGGAGTTGAAGAATCATTGGAGTTGATACATAAATTACTTAGCATAGAATGTGTTAAACAGTGGTCCATCTTGGCAATGCTGGTAACTCTGAGTAATGTCTAGCATTGAATGCTAATGGACTGACATAGAATTCCTCTCCTCATGTTCTGTTCTTTCACACGTTTATGGAGTTGCATAATCATTGGAGTTGATACATAAATTACTTACCATAGAATGTGTTAAATAGAAGTCCATCTTGGCAATGCTAATAACTCCCTGAGTAATGTATAGCTTTGAATGCTAATGGGCTGACAGAGAAGTCCCCTCCATCTTTTCTATTCTTTCACATTTTTATGGAGTTGAAGAATCATTGGAGTTGACACATAAATTACTTAGCATAGAATGTGTTAAATAATATTCCATCAATGTCTAGCGTTAAACAGTAGTACATCTTGCCAATGCTTATTAACTCTCTTGGTTGTGATAGCCATAGCTGTTTAATAGACTGGCCTGAATATTCCCCATTTTTCATTTTTTCTAAACACATTCAATTCTCTTCGTCTCATTTCCGTTTGTTCATTGGTTTATCATTTGTCTCTTTTCTTCATTATCTTTCATTTCAACATGTTCATTACTGAGTTTATTGTTCTTTTCAAGTATATAGTGATAAATAAATGGTTGTCGTATTCATGCTTTTGACTCCCCTGCATGCATACTAAAATTGATTTAGGAGATCAATAAGAGGGTAGGGTCTACTTCTAGTTATGCAATACAGGTTTCTTTCCTGCTTACTTTCTTGCTCTAGCTATACTGTATTGTTGGATTTTCTTCTTTTTAGTTTTGTTCGTGTTCACCTCGGCTATTTATTTTGTTTTAATATGTCTACCCAGGCTAATAATTATTTTGAAATTATGATGGTGCAGCTGAATTATATGTGAATGGAGAGATTGTTCAGAGACCACCTGAAAGACAGAGAAGGGTGGAGCCACAGCCACAAAGGCACCATGACAGACCAAGATATAATGATAAAACAAAGTATGTCCGACGCAGGGAAAACCAGAGGTGAATTGCCTGTTTTAATCAAGGAAAGGGACCTGATGTACATAATGTGAATGTAGTGCATTATATGCAACTTCCAAAGTCATGCCTATGGAATTCTGGTGGTGTTAATTGAATGTGTGTAACTGGACTTGTATCAGGTGGATTCCTCTTCGTTGTTGTTTATTCCTAAGAATAGAATCTTTATCATGGTCCTAAAACAATTAAATATTTTTAAAACCCCCCAAAAAAAAAGAATCTTGAGCATGCATATTAAATGTTCAAAGTTGTCGGTGTTAAATAATCAATTCTCCCTGGCATGAAATATCAGCTGTTACATGTGATTAATTTTGATGCTTTTATAAGCTGTTATTGTGAACATCAAATTTGTGTCACAGTTTTCGCCAAATGTTTTAGGTAGGTAGTAGCGGGTAAATTCAATCGTGTATGAATAGTTTTAAAAGTATCTAATTGCTATGACTAATAAGTTTAGTGTTTTGAAATATTGCTGTGAAAAGTTTTAATTTAGTCGTTTCAACTTGTTATTTGACACATTTTCTTCACGGCAAACCACAATTTTGGGTTTTAAAATTTTAACCGTTGCAAACAATTTGGGTATAGGCAAACAATATGGCTATATTCTCCATAACAAGGAACTTTAGAAATGTGGTCTATGCTAATTAAAAAAACTTAGTGCAACATTCGAACCAATTGACATTGATGAGAAGTGTATGCATAAAAACTTAAGATCCTTTATCTTAGTAACATCAATTTTGGAATTTATGTGTATAATAAGGGATGCATTAATACCTCAAACAGGTCTACTTACAATTTAGGAATTGCCAATTAATTTTGATGAATGTATTGTTTATTGTGTGTACACAATGACTTTGGAGAATCTCAGTAGTTATGTGCCTCTGAATACAAGATTCCATTCACCGTGATGCAACATTTTATGCGTCTACCATTGTCATGACTTTCATTTGCAAAATTAAATTTCGGTAAACTGCAAAAAAAGAAGAAGTGTTGAAACCCTCCCTCCCCTTTCAACAATTGCCAATTATCATTATTAGATTCTGGTATATAAAAGTTAAAACAAACGTACCCTACACGTCACTTTATCACCATTTCTTTTATAACCTAGCTAGTCCTATAAAAGTTGCTACTTTAACCCCTATAAAGATCTAATAAACTATCAAAATAACGTAAGTTTTGTATGAATATGAAGCATTTACCTTAGTACTTATTTCACCTTTAACTATTTCATTTATATATAAAAAAGATTTAATAAACAAACTTTACAAGCATATCAAAAAAAAAAAAAAAGACAAGAAAAGAATGTGTTATCTAAAGGGTTCAACGGGACAAGATTCATCAAGAAAAACCGCTGCCTCAAAGCATTCAGCAGCCTCCAATGCTGATGTTCCCAAATCATCTTTGTAAACAAGTCCAAGATTGTACCATGCAGATGAGTTTGTTCTGTCAAGCCTTAATGCCTCAATGAGAAGACTTCTAACAATTGAACATGATGATTGCCCACCAAGTTTTCTCAGAACACAAGCTGTTGATATCAAACTCAGAACATGGTTGGGATCAAAATCCAATGCTTTTCTATATGATTTCAATGCTTCTTGATGTAAACCTCTTGTTTCATAAAGTATACCTGAAAATAAATCTAACTTATGATCAACTCCGCTATATGAAGAATATCGTAAATATAGTTAGTCTCAACACGTTGAGCTTCAATAAATACCTGTAGAGTGCCATCTAGTAGCAGAATAGGGATCAATGGCCTCAGATTTGGCTAGACAAATTTCAGCATCATGCCATTGCGACAAGGCTGTATAGACATTGGTTAAATCATGCCACACTTCCATTTCTAGTCTTCTGTCGCGATTTCGCTTACACTGTACAAAAGAGAAGTAACATTGCGTTAGAGTATTGTTATTCAAGCCTTATTTGATGAATGTGTATCTTACCTTCATATCCTTGTTTGCAGTTCCAAGGTTTTTGTTTTGGACTTGAAGAACAGCAAGAAGAAAAGTATATGTTTCAATAGCATTTTTCAATCTTCCTTGTGCAATCTGAATCTTAGCTTTAGTCCTCAACAATTCTCCTTGTTCCCACTTTCCACTTTGTTCTAAAGCAGCATCGATAACAATCTCGGCATCGAAAAACTTCTTTTGAGCTGATAAAATTCTTGCTAGTAGTATATATCCACTAATACTAGATCCACCTTGAAGCTTAATCAATTTCTTTGCATGACCGTAAGCGACTCTCAGCTTTCTATTTTCAGCATATTCTAGACAAAGATGATGAACAATGTAAGGATTAGGATCACTATCCTCCATTATTCTTTCAGAAGCTTTTAGTGCCCTGAATGCTTGAGATTGTATCAAAACTTTCTCTGATTCAGAAGAAACTGACTTGGATTTCACTGACAGTAGAACACCTTGTAAACAATTCGCAATAGCTTCCATTTGATTGCATTTTCCATTCATCTGAGAAATGGCTTTGCTGGAAAATTTGATTCCGTCTTCGACACAAACTTTATTGTCTGCACAAATTTTCGAAGCTAAAAGCAATTCCTCTATGCAATCTGAGTTCACTGAGTTTTCTCTATTATTCAAAAAGTTTCTCAAGAGATCCAAAGCAACCATATTCTCGGCTTCGCTGTAGTAACAAAGAGAAAGAGTATAATATCTTCCTCTTGTCTCCATGGTTTCTGGAAGTAACTCCTCAACCTCTTGTGCTAGAATCATGAACTCACTACAAACACTAAGAGCAAAAGAAAGGTGATGGATTATCGAAGGATCTTTTGATTTTTCTCTCAGCAGAATCCAAAGCAGAAGAACTGCTTCTTCTATATTGTTTCTCGGCACAAAGGAACCGTCCAACTGAGACCGAAGCGGAGGAGACTCCGCTTCGTAGCCGCTGTATAAAAGAAACAAAGCAAATTCCTTTTGTATTCTTGCAGTTGCTTCATTGCCAAGATTCCAATGATAAAGCAAGGCTTTCCTAAATGATAAAACAACATTGTGAGGTGAACCTGCAAGGTTCCATAGCTCCGGAAGAAGTTCAACCGCGCAGTTTACCGTCTCTTGTAACTTACAATCTGAAACAAAGTTTTCAGGCCAGCCTTCTGGTAATGCAGATTCAATAGTGTCTAAAATTGTTTTGCATGATTGAGCAGCTTCTGCAAATTCATTAAATCATAAAAACTTCGGCTCATGAAGCATTGACACAAAGAAAGACAAACTACACGATACTGATATTGACACGTTACACTGACACAACACAGACACCAAATACCACATTGATACTGACATGTTGACACAAACTACGAAGTAGAAAAAAAATCACCTTGAAACCTTCCAAGAGTCTTCAATGATTTAGCCTTAAGAAAAACAGCTTCAAGAAGTAAACTAACAGCATGTAATGACATAGAAGGCACAGAATCATTTTGCGATCCGCGTTTATTATTCGACTCACATCTTCTAGATATAGACATTTTCATCCTGGGAATAACAGCAGCAATATCTATTCCTTCAAACACATGAAGCGCAGCTTCAATGTTTCCTTTCTGATACTCAAGTCGTCCTAACAAAGCTCTAGCTTCCTATTAGAAATAATCACTTATATGACAAACTATTACACTATAAGCACTTAACTAAACTAGGAGCTTCAAGCAATCAAAGATAAAAGAACATTTGTTCATCTTACCTCATAGTTTAAGTAACCACTTTCGCGAAGAGACGATTCGGCTTCTTCAATGTTACTATTATCCACCTTAGTTTCATTTTCACCAGGACGAGATGAATAACCACTAGCAGTTGCTGAATAATCTCTTGTTGCAAGAGACTCTGATGAATAATTCATTTCATCAACACTTAACCTATCTCTTGAACACACACACTTCATCATCTTCCTCAATTTTCTTCTCATACTACTATCCTGAAACATCATCAATAAAACATAATCAAAATTTCTGATCAACAAAACACAAGAAAATAAAGAATAAGAAGCTATAAAATTACACCTATGTTACTGAATTCAATTCAATGGTAGATGCTGTAAAAGGTAAAGAGTATAAATGATATGAATAAAAAAGATAGCTTTTCAATAACATAAAAGTATATAGGTTGAGCCCACAAAAACAAAATGAAATAAGCGTGCAAAATAGGTTATTAAATTCAGGTACAAAGAAAGTGTAACAATGATTTTTCTGTGTTAAGCAAAGAATCCAAAGCTGTAAATGATTTAGATAACCTTTTTATTTTGTCTTTTTTGGTAATTTTCATTGTTTTCATGTTTGTTTGACTGGTTGTTAAGTTTCATGGTGTGAATGTGAAACAATTTGTGTCTTCAACAACAGTTATGTGACAGTGCATTAAATTAGAAATATCTAACTTCTGAAATACTGAAGTTTGAATGTTGAACCAAAAGTGTAGAACATGACTTGTTCAGTACTATTTGTCCTTTTATTTTTATTTAATTACTTAAATAAAATACCTAACATTAAGTGTGTTTTTAAATCTGTATTGTTAACAAAATATTTTTCAACCAATTGATTTTAAAAAGTGAACCTAGATTATAATTTATTCATTTAGGTTTGATTGACAAACTTATACACATTCCTAATTATTAATATTGGAGGTGTATATAGAAAGTGAGAAGGTAAAAAAAAGGAAGTAGTTAGAGTTTTATGAAGGACACAAGTTAAGAATATAAAAGTAATTTTAAAAATATTTAATAAAATATAAGTAATTTTTTTTTATCATGACACTATTAAGTAATTATAACATATGGGAGAGTGCGGTGACCTTGTCCTCGCAACCACTCGCCCATAACACCAAGAACAAAATATAAATATATTTAAAATTACTTTAATTCAATTAGAATAAAATGTTCCTCAAAAATTATTTAACACGTCTTTTTCTTATTACAATATTTAATGAGATTTATTTTTGTTTGTGCTTTTGAATTTGTTTTAGACAGCCACACATTTTGTTAAGTGAAAAACTATCTGAAACCGGTTTTTACGGCGGCTTAATCGATTACAGTGGAGTGAAATTCAATTTTGTATTTGAAATAGAAAGTTTTGTCGTAGGTATAACCGGTTATACATTCGCAATACTCGATTACAGAGTTGTAGCAACTGTAATCAATTACATGTATAAGATTCAAAGGCTAGTCGCATGCGTAATCAAGGGTCTATCACTAAGTTTCTTAACAGTCACAAAAGATTCCTCACATTTCTGACACGTGTGAGAGGTTAAAATCAAATTGGTTTACCAATACTAAATTATCATTGATCACATTTAGTGTTGCACGTGCATTCTTTTCTACCGATGTTTGGAGATTTATCTTAGCTTACTTTTGAGAATTCACCTCATTGACAAGAGGGTTATCCCAAGTCATGCCGGAGAGACTCGCCCCAAAGATGTTTGAGAGGCTCACCACCTAAGATGTCTGAGGGACTCATCCTTTCCATGCTTGAGGAACTTATCCAAATGAGAAAATGCAATTAAGTTAAATCACCTTTTCCTTTTCACACCCTCATGAGGGACCGCGTACTAGTATATTCATCAAGGGCCTATAAAAGGAAGTATAAGGGGTTCTAGGCGATGTAATATGCCATTTTTTCTAGCTTATTAGTCACCCATTTAACGAAACCCATTACTTGTAATGACCACCCTTTTATTTGAATACCCATCTTTTTATGAAAATGAGGTGAGTAACATGTTTATGCCCATAATGATATGAAGAGGAACTCAAAAAAGAAAAGTCATATTCTCCAATATAATATGAGAAATAAATACCCATTTCCCACACTTCTAAGAGTGAAAAGTGTTGTTATTCCTTCTTGAAGCCTATGACCCGGGCCCAAAATATTCCTTTAAATATCTCAACTTCTAAAGTTGAGAGGGAAATTTAATTCTCTATATAAACACTATAGACAAAGCTTCTCACTTTCTGAGTGCGAGTTTTCTCTAACATCGCAACAATTCTAAAAGCCTCTAACAACCCTTAATCATAAAGATTTTCAAGTATAGTACTATTAGCAAGTACAATACGTTAGGAAAATTACTTTAAATATGAAAACAAACCTATCAATGTAAAGTTGATAAAAGATTTTCTGATTAATGCTTCAACTGGTGATAATTTTATCAAATCAAATTCGCATGGTATTGAATTTATCACGAAGAACAACTGAAATCTCTATGTTAACATGATGTCCAAATAATGGTGTTCCCATAACCTCATTATTTGAGAAGAGTCATGAAACCCACAAAGTATTAGAGGAATTATAAAACGACATTGAAAGTGCAACTAATTCGTCATATTTTAAAAATGTGAACATGGTGATTTTAAATATTATCAAGGATTTTGTCACTCCCAAGTCTAGCTTTGTCGAAATTTTTAGCTAAAAACATTGTGCAATTATATGGTGTTTGCACAATAATGTCAAAGTAAATCTTAGTTTCATCATCTCAAAACACTAAAAGATTGTTGTAACTGATTCCAGAAGTGGCAATAAGAGAAACATTCATGATAGAAAACATATCTATAAATGGCTTAAAGCATCAAACTTTATCAAAAACATGAAGGAAATTCAATTCCTCAATGATCTATTTATTTTCTATGAGATTTTTGAATGTGCATATACTCTTGTCAAAATGTGAATTTGCAACGTGTTGAGTTTGTAATTCCTTGTGTCGAAGCAGTGTAGCTCGACAGAAATAAAGACTAGTCGAATTAGTCTAATGCGTGTGTGTGTCGAGTTACTTAGTGTGTCGAAGCAGGTTGCTTCACACAGGATTTCGATTTGGCCTATTTTAGTAAAGATTGGTTTTTCAACATGAAACCCTCAATAAAGACTAGTTGAATTAGCATAATGCGTGTGTGGTAGGAAAGATTAGGTTGTCAACATGAAACTCTCAATGAAGAATATGGTGAAATTTGCAAAAGACAATACTATAGCAGCTGAAGGTATTAGTGATGTTCTGATTATGAGGAAAGATGGCAAGAGGTCATTAATTTTCAATGTGTTGTACATACCAGGCATGAAAAGTAATTTGCTTAGTATAGGGTCGTTGGTCGAAAAGAACTACAAGGTGCCGATCAAAGATAAGATGATGAGTGTTCTCGACTCAGGTGGTAGGTTAATCTTAAAGGCTCCAATGTATCAGAATAAAACCTTCAAGATTGAGCTTAATGTGATGGAGCATAAGTGACTTTCAACTGCAGCCAATAGAGATGAATGAATATGGGATTATCGACTTGGCCATATCAATTTCAAAGACATCAGAGACTTGAAGAGAAGAAATATGGTTTCGGGATTACCAGAAATCGACATTCCAAGCGAAGTGTGTGAAAAATGTGTTTAGGCAAAACAACACAAGAATAACTTCAGCAAGGATGCAAGAAGTAAGTCGAAGGAAATTCTCGAAGTTATATACTCTGATGTATGTGTGCTGAATCGGTAAAGCGACAAGAAAAAATATTATTTTCGAAAGAACTCCCTCCAGGATTTATGTCGTCTCCACAGGGATCGGTGCAAGGGAAAGAATGTCGTTCGACAATCTCTACGTCTCTAAGCTTGGATTTAAATAATTTGGGATAAAAATACAAAAGAAAAAACATAAAACAAGAAAATAAATACTTAAGAAATGAGAAAACTCATCAAGACTTGTATTTCGTTCTACCCATCATGTGCTAAAATATATATGGATCAAATGCATGCAACCTAAATCACTCATCAATATCATCACATATCACTCACAATAGAGGTTATGTCTAACGCAAAATCGAGAGATCAACCGTATCGTCTCATCGGTGATGTCTCACGCAACTCAACAACATGGAACATTAAGAATTGATACCCACGTGAATATTAGACCTAAATCTATGTCTAAAGTTTAGAATCTAACAAGTGTTCATCTTAGATCGAGTTCGAACCGTATATGCATATAGCAATCCAAACCCATTATGTAAAAAATAAAAGATAACCATCGATAAAGAGTTGTAAAAGAGATTTTATACAAAGATAAATAAATATACATATAATCAAGATAAACTTACATACAAAACCCCAACAAATAGAGGGTATAAAGAGAAGAGAGAAGAATAACAAAAATCTCACGACTTGTCAACTCTGATTGAAGTGGATTCGACTCCGGATCGTCAAGATATACACTCCATGGATTGTTTCTAAGCTAAATCTACTCAAGAGCGTGTTTGATGAAGTTGGGGTAAAAAGTTTCGAACAGCATAACCTAAAAAATGCTGAAAAATCACTTAAATAGGAAAAAATAGGTTTACATGTTCGCCCCGCGAACTTATGCTGCCTTAGCTACTGGCAAAAGTTTTTTTTTCCACGTTTTTTAGAACTTTCTATTTGCCTAGCGAACATGATAGCAAACCAACACTTGTTTCGACCATAACTTTTGAATTGTAATTCCGTTTTACGCGCGGTCGGAAGCTTTGGAAAGCTTATTCAATGATATATAAGATAATGAAATAATATCATTGCTTGTATACCTACAAAAATGAGTGAAAAACAATTAAAATCAATGACATTTACATGATACACAATATAGACATTATAATATAAACTATACAACATATGCACAAAAGTTGAGGTTTATTGGTTGAATTAAGCCAATAATTGCGAATTATTTAAACTAAATATAAGTATATTTTAGAACTTATCAATGTGGTCCTATCCAGATCAATTTGATTGGAGGTAACAAATACTTTGTCACGTTCAAAGATGATTTTAGTCGAAAACTGTGGACTTACCTGATCAAGAAGAAAAGTGAAGTGATCGAGGTATTTACCAAATTTAAATAAATGGTCAAAATACAAAGTGGTCGAAAGATAAAGATTCTGAGGACTGATGGTGGTGGAGAGTATGTGTCAAAAAATTTCAATGCATTATATGAGAAAGAAGAGATTGT